CTACAGCTAACTATAGCCCCTGTTTATGGGTAGCCTGCTGAGCTAGGTGAGCTATAGGGGCGCCCAGAATAAAGTGATTTTGATTTAAAACTACCACTTTGAGCTCAGACGTGGCCATTTGTCCAGATGCAGCTGCTCGTCACACACAGTTAGTTCAAGATCCACCAGGAAGCTAAAAGTCTGGCCGTTTTTTCTATCTTTACAGGTTCCCGCTCTGATAAATGGTGTGATTGTTCTAAAGATAACGTGCCTCTGAGTGTGTCTGATGAGTGGGTCTGTGCAGGTGTTGGAGGCCAACCAGATGAAGGGAGGCGTGGAGCTGCTGGAGATGCGACCGGAGCAGCTGAGCAGCAGCGACCTGGGAGGACAGCAGGTGGGTCTGCAGCGCCGGCTGCTGCTGAAAGCTCAGACACACCAGCTCTGTGACGTTCATACATGAATACGTCTGCTGCACACAGAAGCCTGAAACACAGTCAGAGGAACAAGACGTAGAGATTAAAACCATCTTGTTCCACAAAATAACATCAAACGAACACAGAGTCAAATCAGACAGAACTCAGTAAACATGTCGCTTCATCATCTCAGGTTCTGTTTGTTTATCTCTTATCTGGGACCCAAAACTAAGTTCTGTGACATATTTGAGCTGGATTTTCAGTCTCCACATTTCATGTCTGTAGTTCTGGAGATACTGAACCCTTCAGTTGTTTCCCGGGTCAGATAATGATAACAGAACCGAGTTTGTGGTCCTGAATACCAAATGATTCGACTCTGAACAGGCTCGGACCGACCCAGATGTCCTCTGTGTGTTTTCTAACTGAACTTCCTGAACTCTGTGCAGATCTCGGTTCTGGTCGGAGAGCCCTACTTCAGCACCAGCCTGCTACCGTGGCACTCCCTCTGCTTCTGGTTCTGCCGCTCGGCTCTGTCCGGCCTGCTGCGACCTGACGCCTCCATCCTGCCCGGAGCCGCCTCCCTGCACATGGTGGCCGTCCAGTTCCAGGTGGGTTCTGTCGGCTTCTCTTCATCCGGGCCCGGTAGAATAAGATCAGACAGGACTTGTGCCTTCAAAACCAACGTGTGCTGGTGTTCCTAGGATCTGTGGAGGATCAGAGCTCCGTGTGGAACCTGTGAAGGCTTCGACGTCACGCCGATGGATGAGATGGTTCAGGTACCGCTCAGACCGCCGTAACAGTCAGTTTATGGTGCTCAGATAGCAGCAGGTTCAGGAACATTAATGCTCACGACAGAAGACGTCTTTGTTTAGTATCACAGGGTTTGGAACCAGCTTCAGGTCCAACAGGTGAGAAGAACCGCAGGAGTTAGAGACAAACAGCAACAGATCAGAGAACGCCACAGATTCTCGTTCCTCCTCCGCTTAGGAACAAGTCGATCAACTTCCTGAAAGCTGCTTCACATGTTGGTTATGTTCTGGTGGATTACTGGTAGCAGCTGGACTGATTGAAGATGTTCCACCTCCATCCAGGAGGCTTCATCAGCTCTGACTGACTGGTTGGGAGTTCCACAGACTGATATCCTGAAGGAGACGTTAACACCTGAGTAATGTGGCTCCTTTTATCTGGAACTCGTCAGTCAGAGCTGATGAAGCCTCTTGGATGAAGGTGGAACGTCTTCAATCAGTCCAGCTGATTAATCTACCAGAAGATCCATGACCTGGAGGACTGAGGATCTCCACAGACATGTTGGTTCTGTGTTTGCCATCATGAATCTGCTCTGGTTGATGACTCAGCTGGTTAACTCCTGAGTGTGTTGTGTTTAATCAATTACAGAAGAAATAACCCATTTACCTTTCTCAGTCATTTGTGGCTCACCGGTAACTCTGATGACACACTCCAGCCGCTAGGTGGCGCCAACGCACCTACGGTTGGTTTAACAGATGACCAGGATGAAAGGTTTAGTTTTTAAAAGACTTCCTGATGGCAGCTTGGATCAGAGCGAACACTGTGAGAGATTATTGATCTGCTGTCCGATGATCAGATATGAAACCAACGACATGAAGAGAAACGATCACAGAGAACGTTTCAGGTTTTTGTCTGTGATAGTTCCTCAGATGTTCTTCAAGTCTGAGAGAGTATTTACTACTTAAAGGTTAAACTGAACAGATATCTTTCATAATATTCTGCTTGGTTTGTTTGTTTTCTCAGAAAAAGTCTTAAAATGTTGAATATAATGGTTTTAATCCACTGTGAGTTTGAGCTGATCTGTGAACGCAGCAGACGGATGAAGGATGCAGATCAATGTAGAAGAACAGCAGACGTTCAGTTGTTTAAGTTCTCGTCTGGTCACTGGTTCAACATTTATCTGAGTTCAATTCAATTCAATTTTATTTTATTTGTATAGCGCATATTTACAACAACAAGTGATCTCATAAAAAACAAACACTTATTTGGTTCATTGTTGCTGTTTGATAAAAATGTGATTAATCAAGTTTAGTTCATTACAGAGCCTCTAATTAATGAATAAACTAATTTAAATATGCAGATCAGGTGTTGCATCACTAAACCAGTCGTGGTAAACGTCTGAACGTGTTTCTGTTCCTGCTGCGCCTCTGATCAATACCGCCTCTGATCACTGCTGTATTGATCCCCCGTCGCTCTGCAGAGCTCTCTGGAGTTCCGGGAGTCGCGGGAGGCGGAGCCACACCCCCTGTGGGAGTACCCCTGCCGGGCCCTGACCCGGTCCGAGCCCGTCATGAGCTTCGACTTCCGCCACTGCGTCCCTCAGCAGCCAATCAGCAGCCGGGGATCGCTGCCCTTCGTCAGGTACGTCAGGTTCATCAGAGTTCATCAGTCAGTCTGTGGTCCGTCTCCGATCAGAACCGCTGATGTAAACACTCAGACAGAACCTGAAGCATCTGTTTGTGTTCTGACGCTGACCCACAGGCGGCAGGACGTAGATGTTTGGTGTTTCCTTTACAGATGTAGAGGCTGTGCTCGTGTCTTCAGGGTTTTATGTTCCCCTCGGTAACAGTCTGGTTTTTATGTGTGTTGTCAGGGCTGGCCGTTGCCATGGCGTCGCGCTGTGGATGGAGTACCACCTGACCGATGACATCACCGTCAGCGCAGGTCTCACCGAACCAATCAGCGAGCAGGTGGGTCCTCGCTCGTTAGCAGTCCTCAGACATCATAAACGATAAATGTTGATCAGTGTATGTGTGAAGCTTGTGGCTGATTTGTTCTGAACACACCAGAACCAGTCGGTCCTGATGAAACGGGTCTGATGCAGATTTAATTGATGAAGAAACGACATGAACGTCTCCTCCAGAGGAGGTCCATGGACGCTGGAGATATGCCTTTATTTAAATCACATGTGAGCGCGTGGAAACTCCAGAACTCTGCTGGGATCAGACTTTCTCAACTTACTGTTTTTCTGGTAAAACTTCTGAAAGCTCAACAAGAATCACTTTATTTCACGTGTGTGACCCAGTGGTTCATGTTCAAAGTGTTCTTGTTGTGACCTGCAGCTGCCAGACTGAGCACGTTTCATTTTCATCATCAGATTATTGATCTGCTGTCCAGCATCACAGAATCATGATGAGAAATAAGAGAACGTTTCAGGTTTTTGTCTCTAATAGTTCCTCAGATCAACGTGAGAATAAAGCTGCTGGAAGATGTTTCATGTCCTTCTGTAGAGCTGAGACAGTCTGACGTCTTGCGTCCTGCAGGGAGACTGCGTCTGGAGTCGACACAGGAAACAGGGAGTTTACTTCTTCAGGACGCCGGCGGAGAGCTCAGCTGACGGCAGAGCTGCAGTGTCCTACAGCTTCACCTTCGAGCCCAGCTCAGGAGACATCAAGATGGACTTCAGCGTCACCACTCCCTGATCTGAGCTTCTCCTGCCAGCGCTTCAGTGTGTCGGCTCATAAAACGTGACCTGATGTAGTTTCAGATGTCCTTCAGCTCAGACTGAACATCATTCATGTCAACATGTGCTTTTGTTTTTGGTGGAAAGCTGAAGGACGTTTGTAGTTTCTGCCTCAGTATCAACAGTTCTGCTTCCTCAGACCTCTACAGTGAAGGTCACACGAGCCTCAGATGGAGAAGTCCGGTAACGCAGCGCCGCACCGCCTCAGGCTTCAGGCAGAGTTTACATTAAAATCAAGTTCTGTAAAGTATTTAGGATGAAGTTTGAGAATCTTGTTTTCAGAGCTGAGAAATTCTCTATTTTCAGACACAAGTGAGCGTCTTACCTGGAAAACCAGACGGAGGGTTGATTGTCTCTAGAAATGTGACAGAAGAGGTTCCAGCACATTAAAATGATTAAACCCCTCAAGCAGAAGCAAAACTTTAATTGTTCTTTCTTGAAAATGGAACGAAGAGCAAAACCTCCAACCAGGCTGGTGCTGATCCACAAAGTTCCTGTCAGTGTCTGTCTATGGATGGATCCATGGTTCTACTAGAACCCAGTCTCTGGTCACATTTCACTGATAACATCAGTAAAAATGTGACATGTGGACGTATAGACGGCGTCTGGTCATGAAACGGTGGCTGGAATTCATCACTGATAGGTTCTGCTGATGTTAGAGCCTCAACAGGTGGTGAGATGTGACCAGAGACTGGGTTCTGGTAGAACCATGGACCCATCCATAGACAGACATGATGCCACTGTCGCTTGACAATTTGGCATTTTCAATAATTAGGGTCCGAGCACTCCGGTGCAAGGACCCTATTGAAACCCTTGTGATTCTTATTAGGGTCCGAGCACCAAAGGGTGCGAAGACCCTGTTGGAACTGCTCGGATTATTATTATTATTCGTGTCAAAGACACGCGTTTTTGAGGCCCTAAACATACTCGAAAACTCACCAAAATTGCCATGTACATCAGACCCGGTGAAAAGTTTTATAATTTGGAAGAACAATACACACCTCAATAGAAAAATTGCTCCACAGCGCCACCTTCTAAATTGTCAAAAGCACATTTGGCCTAGAGCTACGCAATTTTGTAGGCATATAGAGCAGG